ATTAAAAAGTTCTGATTAAAAAAATCCTCATAATGAAACCTTTCTATTTTTCAAAATATTATATATGTTACTGTAGCAAAATTATTCAGTTAAAATTATGAATATCACTTTTGATGTTCACAAAATGCTTATGATGCTTTATCTGCTGTAATTATAAATTCATTTAATTCAATATTCTATATCAAGGCGAGCTCCAAAAAAAATTTTTAATGCTCCCTGAAGAGGTCAAAAATACTTAAAATTAAAAAAATATTTGTAATATTTCAAAATTTAAAATAAAAATTGTTAAATATTATTTCTGAAAGAAATCGGATTTTTTTAAATATTACGACATTTTTGCTCCGTAGTTTTGTAGGGAAAAAATGAAAAAACAGCTGTTAAATTACCATTCAGGTGAAGCATAGGTTGAATTGAAAGGTAATTAGTATTTAATGTGTTATTTTATAGTCTGTTATTTGATAAAACGGATACACGCCACTAAACATCTCACAACACTATCCAAATGTCATCTAAATATAATTTCGTTGTGAAAATCAAAACAAACACGTTCTTCTCATTAAATTTACGCTTTACGAAACCAAGTGAAATGTTTTTACAAGTTCATTGGATCTAAAAAGTAATTGAACAAACTAAAGAACTTGAATTAAGTTCTGTTCACTCTTATGCCTATTTTTGCTGCCTGAAATAGGCAATTAGTTCGAAAATAAAAAGTATTAAACAGTGAAATCTAATGTTCGGCCAGCTTAAATCACGGAACAATCTCACGTGCCATTTTGTTTATTAATTTACTAAATAATCAGTATGTAGCTGCGATACAAAATTTAATGCTCTTCGTTGAACTTCGAAAGTACTCAGTTACAGAAAAAGTTTAAAAACCTCTGCTCTACTTAATATTATGTAAATTAGGTGTATAAAAATTTACTAATTGTTCCTTCCAAGATAAGTAGCGAACAAATGTTCATTATTTAGTTTTTAATGGAATTTCGCACAGACAGCTTTCTCATTATTATTTTGGTGTTAATTTGTTTTTTCATCTTGAGGTATTTTTTAATTCACAAGAAGCTTTTTTTACTTCCTTTATGCTTCTTTCTTTTTAAGTAAAATTAAATAGAATGCAAAATGGACATTTAGAATGTCACACTTTTTAGGAGTTAAAATCATTGTCAAAGTTGTTTATGATAAAACATGTATCTGCATCCTTGACATACGTTTTTCTAAAATTATCTTTGATAGTTAAATCCTCTTTAATAGTTCTTGAGATAGAGGGAAGTAGATAAAGGAGGAACTGTCCACGGAAAACATAAATTCGAGTAAATATTCTTTAATGATATTGGTATAGTAATAATAAAAGCCATAAAATCAATTTGAAAACTGCTAGAATGAATTTTTGAACGAAAACTTTTGTTTCAGTTTTTAAAAAGAAGCCGAAACGCAGGGCAAAATGTCGAAAAACTATTAAAATCAAAAAATATGTGAGTTTCCGAGAAGAAAAGTATTTTCACAATTGTATTTGCTAAAATATTTGTTGAATGCAAGTAAAATAATGAATTAATAATGAAAAGAAATTACCACTTCTCTTTTGGGCATTACGAAGGCATATTTTTGATCCAGTTTTGAAGTAAAAATTGCAATACTTTTAGCAAACTACTTGACATTTGCTGCCATTGATAAAATTTTAAAGGAGATGAATGTTCAAAAAGGATTTGCGTTGAACGAATAATTTCTTTGTAGCCATGATTCAGTTCCACTAAAAAGAACGCTTATTTGTCAGTTTAAAAAAACTTTTGGAATCGATGCATCCATCCATTTGAGTTGATACGTGTCCATGTCACCGACAGTCACTTCACTGACAGATCACATCACCGACAGAACCTACTCTCTACATACTTTCTGTATTCAGCTTGGGCTGTATTTCGTTAGTTTTGACGAAATTGTCCCTAACATTCAAATAATTGAATAGATTGACCCAAACTTTCAAAAGCTGATAAAATGGCCTCTAAGTTTCAAAATTCTACAAAATTGCCTCCTCACTCCTGCGCCATCTCAAAACATTCTGGATTTCACCAATCAAAAAAATTTTTAATCGAATTTTAAAACCATTTGCATCGTATGACAGGATAGTAAGCTTACTACGTAAGCAGGTTTCCCGGTTTTAAGTCTTAACAATGACTGTATACTCATTAAAATTCATTTTTTTATGGAGTATTTCCTAATGAATTGTATTAAATGAATCTAGCATAAATGCTTATGGACCTCTGGAGGGTTCCTCCTCCGCATAGTTGGTATTTCAGAAAACGACCTGGAAGTGCCTTGCTTTTTGAGGGACCTAGAAGCCAGTAGACTTGTTTATTTCGCTTTGCAAGTGGTCACTTGAGGCGTCTCTCGTATGTTCAGGGGCAAAAGACTTTTGGACTTAGCACTAAATGTAGGACTGCTCCGGCTTCGCCCGAGCATATTCTAAACTGTATCGATTTTAAGATCGACGAGGTTTTTTCAAAATCTCATCTGTTTTTAGACTTTCTGGACATTTTTGGACTTATGGATTTGGCCTAATTGGGATGGACCTCTTGGGGATTAGAAACAACAACAAAAGCATAAAGCCTAATATTTTTTTCTAAATTCGTATCATCAGATAAACTAAAGCTGACGTTTCTTCAATTTGTCAAAATGTTCAGAGCCCTTTATAGAAATTTTTTCGTCAAAAAGAAATTAACTTTCAGTATTTTTTTGCAGTGCAAAAATTTACGAAGTTGTAACGTTTTACACAAAATATATACCATTTTAAAAAGTGGTTACAATTAGAAATTTTTCAATTATTTTACTTTTTATATTCTTTCTAATAAGACGGTATAATTAAACGAAGATGGATGACGACGCAAGGAATAGTAGACAGATGATTGACTGGGAATAATGAATCAAAAAGAAAGAAAGAAAGAATTAGAGAAAAACGACAGCTAACAAATTCCTCCCGTAATTTTCTGATAGATGAGAAACTACGATATTTTTTTCACGCCACACGCGCTTAGTGGAGCATGGTTCGTCTTCATCCATGCTTTTTGGCTCATCGAAGAAAAGAGAGGTCCAACGAACCGTGAATACGCGACCCAGTCATCAAGCGGCTTTTTCGAACAAAAGAATGCTTCAAAGATTATTCTTGGGTGGCTTTATTCCTTTGTCGAATTATTTCTTTTTTTCTTTTTCTATTTTAAATCAATTTCTTCTGATTCTTAATTTAGTATCAAAGGTGGGGAGCTCAATATAAGCATGGAATAGCCGCACGCGACGTTTCGTCAAATGTTGTTGGGGAGTTTGAGCATGGGTGTCACTAGGCTAAAAGGTGAGGGTCACTGCTTGGACAGTACTGATTCACGTGATCTTGTTTACAGCATGGGTGATGTCCAGAAACAGTGTCACTAGTGGAAAAATATGGGAATCCAAAATATAATTCTATTCTTCATAAATAGCCCATTCATCAGAATAATGCCTCATTGGTCGACTGACCGAGTTTCATCTGCCATCAAACATCGATGGTTTTCTGGTTGATAGATAGATAGGTTGATATCTACTGCATTTCATTTTTGCATCCTGTGTACTTTATTTTATGAATTTATGTGGGAAAAGAGCACCAGGCGTCTCGTAAATTTATCTGCATTAAAATCATTAATACAATTTCGACAGCTCGTGGGAACATCACGTGAGCTAAGTGTTAACTTAATGAGGAAATGTAGGAAAAGTAACAAACGTGAAAAACTCAACAACATAGTGTTAAGCCTTAAAAGCAAAATTTTCATTAAACATATTTTTCATAATTTTTTTTTCATTATTTTGTATTAATTTAAGTCAAAATAAATGAAAAAAAATTAAATTTAGCATTTCAATAATTAATATTTTCTTTTATTTCATCAATCTCTTTGTACATTTTGTACACACTTCGTAGTTTTAAGTTTCTAAGCCTTTAGATTTTGAGTCACAAAGGAAAATGCAATGTAAACAAAAAATAATCGAGAAAAAAATCATAAAAAAGCAATTAAAATTGCAATAACCTTCAAACAAAGTAAAATGTCTGTGTTTAGTTCAGAAAAAAATATGGTCCTTTCAGCATATTAAATTTTAGCTCAGATTCCTGTGACCTGTAGAGCAGCCTGTATGGTATTTTTTACAACAGTTTTATCAGTTTAAAATTCTCGAAGTAATAATTCGAATGTTAATTTTTTTTATTCCATCTTAATTCCTGTACACTTTTATATACACGCACTAGTTGTTTCTAGTTTCTAAGTCTTATGATTTTTGTGCAATAAAACAAAAGGCAAAAATTAAGGTGAACACCCAAAACAGTGGTGACGTCAGCGTTAGAGGTTCTTACAAGTTTTTAACATTGAGAGTTTTTACTATTTTCTTCTTTTATGTTTAGTGTTTGCTAGTTTGCTTAGCTTTAAATGTCAAAATTTTAAATGGTGATCAATTTTCTTGCATCGTTTAGAAAACGATTGGCTATTTGCATCATACACAGAGCTTCAGTTGCAAAACAGTTTGAAAGCTATTGAAATTTTGAGCGGGAAAGCATACTAAGCAGTCAGAAAGCGATCCATGTTAAATCCTGTTTAAGCAGTCAGGAAATGATTGAAATAGGTATTTTCAATAGACCCCGAGTTTCCTGCGAAATACAAGCTCACCAGTAAATGGCCGAAATTTCAATTGCCCTCCCTCACAAACACGAAAAAAAGTTACTAAAAACGTAATAAACAACGTTGGTACAAAGAAAACTTATTGCCTTTTTGCACTTAACTATTTTTGTAAGAAAAACAAAGCTCCTATACGTGTATAACATTAGATAATAACTTTAACCTTATAAAATCAAAATAAATGTGCCAGATCTAATAATGTGACACATCAATGCCTGACATCAGCTCTAATTGAAAACTATTACTTTCTCTTACAGTATAGAAGCATTAATTTAAGAGAAATCTATATTTTATGATGAATATAATAGAAAAACTTACCATCAACACAGTTGCTCTCCAAGTAGTCTACACTTTCACTGGATGGTCCAAAATATCTGTTGGTTGATGATAAGGTCAAAGAGGTCCGATCTTTGTCACTCAAGAAGCATTCCCCGGTCACTCTATTATAGTTAGCCGATCGGCAACGAAATTGAACTTCATTGATGCATAGTTCCATGCATGCTTCTCTGGACATGACGATGGCAGAGCTACGTGCAACATCTCTCAACTCATATCCATTGACTCGTTCAAACATCCAGTCCCGATCACACTTCTTTCGTCCTGCAACATATTTTATAGTACTTTAATGCTAACTGGAAAAATTGTTGATATCAATTCGCAAGGTGAAAAACAAAAACTTTTAAATCAATTCCGAATTTAAGCTTCTAGGTTTAAAAAGGTTGTTTTCGAGAAATTTGCAACCCATTCAAAAATACCTTTTCAGTTTTTTTTCTTTTTCTTTCTAGGTGGGTTGATATCGTTGCAGTTGAGCGATACACCTTGCTATAGGCGTGATGCAACATATTAGAGAAATAAATGACCGTTGAAGCTTCGAGGAAGTAGTCATTGCTGAACAAATTGTTATATTTATTACTTTATTAAAACATTAATTTAAAAAAAGAACGATATCTTTGTTTTATGCTAAAAAGTTGAGACACCTTGCAGAAAATTGCTTACGTAGGTATATTGTAAACAAAAAATGCCATAGAAGTGAAATTTTTTTGCAAAACGTACCCATCAACAATTTTTATGTGTATATTTTTTCAATATAGTTCGTTTTTCTTCAGTAATTTTACACGAATTCTCAAAAACATCATGTACTAGCTTAGATTTTTTTTATTTTACTAAACAGACTGCACTGACTCGGTGAAGGTTTAAAACTTGAAATAAAAAATTTGAAATATTACCGAGGCCAAAAAAATCTTCGTCAACAACCTTTTTTTCCTGAAACGTGCTGATTTTTCTCTCCCAGCAACTCGCCTATAAATTATACTTGATAGTAAATACTTCAACTTCAAATAATTGTTATACAAGAGATATACAGATGGGCTATTGGCCCTAGTCTGAGATTCTTTTTTGATAATGATTTGAAGACAATACTTGGGCATACTACGAGTTTTAAATTAAAAAACATCCATGTATTTAAAGCGTTCAAACGCGGCTCTCTTTCTCAATATGACAGAGCAAAATATTGAAAACAGAACAATTTGGAAATAAGAAAAAGCACAGTTGCGAATGAACAAGAAAAATGGGAGAGAAGATAATGAAGTAAGAATTAAAAGAAGTGGATGATCTGTGACCAAAGAAGGCAAATCCGTAACTTTGGACTCCTTTGTGAAACTGCTACCAATTTAATGATAATTTTTTTCAACATTAAATGCACAGTATGATCAAATCGTTTCCTTTTCAGTTTTTTAGAGAGCTTCACTACTGTTAGTAGGGCTATATAAAAATTTTGAAAAATTCTAAGTTATGACGTCACCATGGATCGTCATGAGGTATTATTTCGTTAGCTTAACAACAAAGTAACAAAGTCAAATGATTAATAAAAGTAACACTCATTAAAGGTTTGTCTAAAGTCAAAAAAAAAACTTTTAATGAAAATTAAGCCACAAAATACAAGTAAAAATCAAAATTGGTTTACATTTTTCTGAGTTATTTAAGGTAGAAATTCAAATCATTTTCCATTTTTCACGCATACAAATGAAAAAATATTAAAATAAAAACAGTCTATACAACGTTCGCATTGAATTACACAATAATACCTTTGTTTATAGATCAAATCATCAAAATCTATTATCAAAGCCTCTTTGTTTCTATTCAATTTATCTTATAATCAACTTGCCTTTTGTGATTACCGTTGAAGGAAAAATATAACTTTATCAAATTTTTAAAAACACTCATTTTATTTTCATGTACTTGAAACAATAAAATCGGTGATCTTTTTAGAAAGTTTATTGATCTTAAAATTATCTTTAGTAGCATTGATATCGACTGACTTCCGGTAGAGAAGAAACTTTAAGCATTAAAAATAAAATTAACAATGTCTTCCCTTATCGGTAATGACTCATAGCTTACCAAGAAGACAGACTTTGTGGGCGTAAATAGTAAACACAGGAAATTGAGATGCTGTAAGTGCTGCTGGTCTCTGAGCAGCGCTGGAACTGAAGAGGACACAAAGCCCTGTCTCAAAATTAATCGCCTGGCATGTGGCATTGTTGTTGCAGAGGGATAGACAGTCGGTTAACTTTAAAGTTCCAGGAACTAGTTCCATTGTGTCACCTGGTGATGTATACACATAACCAGTAATGAGTTCAAATGTAATGAATCCACTGCTGCAACCTGGAAAAAAAATTACATCATTAAACTTACATTTTATGTGTGCAAAATAACAATTACTAGAAACAAAACAAAAATACTCCTTCTGTTCCCTATTAGTTGCCAGATTTGAATACTTTTGTACTGATTCTCATGATTTCATGATTTGTAAATATTTTTCAGAGATTGGATTCTGTGATTGGATTCTGTCATTTAGCAACATTTACTTACGCAGCAGTCACTCTTTAAATCTGTACTAAATTAGTTTCAAAAATATATGGTTCTCCTGCTCTTAAGCCACGCTCAATTTTGCAAGGATTCCTTCACTAATACAATCACTTAAAACTATCTTATAACTAATGAATCATGAATTCATTAATAATATAATTTTACTGGTGTCAATCTACTAAACTGCATTTGAGGTTATTTTTGTATCTACTTACTTGAAACGTAGCAAATAATTTGGAACGGATAGAGCTGTATGCTATGAAGCTTAAGTCATGATAAGTATAACACTCGTACTCCTATACTCCCTATTTATAGTCATAAATAGTATAATACTTCCATTTCAATATGGTTCAACTTAGTACCATGTTGAGATTAAGGCAAATTTAATGATATTACGCTTTAGCACTATCCAACATTTCTAACTGCTACATTTCACCATTTGGAACGAAATTTAAGTCGAAAATTTTATCCCAAATTAGTTCCTACATTTTAAGTAAGTAGTGGAGTAATAAGTAACTTCTAATGCAGTTTAGTAGATCTACGCTAGTAAAATCATACAACATATCATACCTTACCTGTACAAAAGCATTCAAATGTAGCAATCAATTTGGGACAGAAGCTGTAATAAATTGTAGACAAGATTGCATAGATTGACGGATGAGTGTAAATTGTGACACGCTCCTAAATGCACCATTAGAAATCTTAAAGTATGTTGAACTGTAAAACATTGTCAGAATTTTCTTCAATCTCAACCTGGTACTAAGTTGAACCATATTATCGTACTCTTTAAGCTTTATTCCATGATACTATGGTTCAACTAGGACGGAAACATGGTTCAATTTAACACCTTATTAAGGCTTGCAGTAAATTTTCACCATATTTTTGTTCAAGATAAGCGATATTATAGTTCAAGATTGAACCTTTTTTTGAAGGTGTAAAGACATTAGGCAGAGAAGTGGGTGATTTTCTTCCTCTTGCAATCACTGGGCGTTCCGTATAAACACCGTTAATACGTATTTTTGATATAAATAACAATAAATATTGCAGTCGTCTATAAATGGCTCTTAAATGCTAGTGAAATATGGTAGAAACTGAGAGTGGGATAAAACTGGGAGACTGCCACTTTACAAAACAAGTGTTTCGAGCTCACTGATACACTATGTTGACTTCAAAAGATAAAATTTTGTACCTTTTTAATGATTGTGAACACATGATCCGAAATGTTAAAATTTCATGTCATTGCGATCATTTTGCATAGCTCAATTATCGGAAAAAATTTAATTTCGAAATCTTGAATATTTAAAAAAATTTTTGAATGCAGTTCTTGATTCCCTTCACTAGCACTATTTATTTATATATACAACAAAGTATTAAGCTAAAATCTGGCAGTTCAAAATCTGTGATAAAATTTTAAATAATTTAAACTTACGTTATTCTTGAAGCAAAGAGGCGCTTTAAAGTTGAGCAAAGTTTCGCCACATAATTTAATATGTTAATTAACGTAAAGTTAATTAAATACAGCGCCTCATCGAACATCGAATTTGTTGAAATATAATTCTTTCTAGTCTACGTTTTTTGCTTTGCTTGTCTTTCACTTTTAATTTAGGTAAGTGCACATTAACAGCTCTCTTTAACGGGGAAGTTCAGATATTTGTTTCTCTCATTCTATAAACTAATTTGTTGATTGTTTATTTGTATTGATATGGTTCTTTAGATATCACACTGAGAAAAAAGTATGATCATAACTACCAAAATATGGTAAAATTTTACCGTGTTTCTGGCTTTATGGGAACACCTAAAAGATCGGTAATTTTTACAGAAGCGTTGTGATGGTGATTTTGGCAAAATTATCCTTGAAAAACGCTTTCATAATTTGTGATAAAATCTGGTAAATATGATAAAATTTGGTAATTTTATCCTTATACCTTAGAACATGGCATAAAAAAATTTTATTTTGTTAAATTTACGTTGCAGTTTTGTATTTTTTACTAAATGTGTGGTAATAATAGCATAATTTTTTAAAATCAGAGTTTCTAATAAACCATTATCATAATTTGGTAATTCATATTAACCATATGAACTATCAAATGAAGGGTTTAAATACCGTATATTTTAGTTTGATTAAACAGAGTTATGTTTTTTTCCCCAAAAATGTCATTACTGTATTGCGCGGTATTGTTGACAGAAATTTTTTTCTCCATATGACGAATAAATAAATGACATCATGTTAGATCCTATTAGTGAAAGAATATTGCAAGCAGTTTGATATTAAAGTTTTTTAAAAATATTGATGATTGATTCTATCCACTAATGTGCTGATTGTTTGATTGCAGTTACATGGATAGCAAAAAATAAATAATTGATATTATGTTAATTTAAACGTACAGAAGCGGTGTTGCTGTTCCAACAAACATCCAATCTTCACGTAAACGATTGCTTAGTTAGTAATGAGCAGAAAATAAAGGTAGTTTGCAATTATCTATAATTCTTAGAGATTTGAGTAATGAAATAACTTTCTCTAGATTACTCTAGTTAATTTGCATATTAGCTAAATAATCTGTAGAATCACTAATGTCTACTTTTAAGTGGTAAAAGCTAGAATTTCTGTATTTTTAAATGCAAATTTATTTTCTGCTTGTAATATTTTCTATTAACTACTAACTAAGCTTTAAAAAGAAAAGACACCATAGAAATAAAAGAGAGGCGACGAGATGATATCATTTAAGTGTTAGCAAGTCTTTTTTTCCCACCTCGGCGACAATGCTATTTGACCCTTTTCCATGCGTCATTCTTAAGGACCTCTTGTTTATATGCAGAAAGGTTGTGTTACGCCCATTGACTTTCGATGCCTGCCGAATTTTAAGCAGAATTCGTGTTTGTCGTCAACCCACCTCATAGAATGACAGAGTGTTAAAGTGAATAAGTTCAGTGAGATCACGGTTTTTAATTATAGTACAAGTTCACAATCAGACTTGAATTAGAATGCATAACCTGTTCAGATTGTGTTAGTGTGTTTCTTTTCAATGGATAAAAGCTTGGAACCCGCATTCGAATATTGTTGATATTGAAGCATTCTTGAACAAAAATATCGTGATTGTTTTTTCTTAATTTGTTGTTTGCACTTTAATACGATGCTAAGTTAAACTATATTACCACGATAATTAATGTTGCATAAACTCGATTGCATGATACTAAGGTCAAACTTGTAGAGAACAAATGAAACTTTGAAATTTAAATTTGCCAGACACCAATGTTAAATAGTTTAGAACATGTTGAACCATGATATTGTTTAAATTTGCTACAGTCTTATGATGTTTCAAATTTAAACCGTAGTGTTGTGTAATCAAATTAAATGGTCCTCTTTTTAATTTGATTACACACGATACGAAAGAGATTTTGCTCAGTGTTATGTTTCTTCCCTCTTAACTCTATTTGATCTTCACAGCGCATGCGCAGAAATTTTTCTACAATTCTCCTATGATTAATGTAAGTAATTGGAATGACAATGTAATAAAACAATTTTTCACTTCAATTTTATGTTTGCATAAGATTATAGTTCAATGTAGAATCAAATTTTTTGAGGGGTGAATGCTTGAACTGGTATTATGGTTCAAAGTTGAATCAGTTTTTCTGCGAATGTAGTACTCATAATGGTTCAACTTTTAAACCTATTTTTCTGAGAATGTAATGTTTGAACTGGTATTATGCTTCAAAGTTTAAAAACTTTTTTCTGGGATTATTGTACTCGTAATAATTATAATATAGTTCAAAGTATAATTTATTTTTTTCTAAGAGAGAATTTTAAGGCATTTAAGGTACGAAAAAAATAAGATAACAGAATAAGACGAAATGAGATAATAAGTTTGATAAAAATCTAAAAAAATGGATCAATTTTAAATATTATGAAAAAATTTTAAAACAATTCTCTTAAATTTAAAAAATATCAAAATATTGCAAATAATTTTAAAAAATATTTGTCTTCATAAAACATAAGCAAGTAGAATACCAATAAACAAAAGTAAAATAAAGTCAAATATAACTAAAATATGCTAAAAAGACTAAAGAAATACTAGTCATAAAGTAAATAATAAAGTATGATAATAAATTCCCTCACAAATATATCACTTAAAGAACTTATACTTAAGTTAATAAATAATTACTTTCTAAACCAATTCAGTAAACCATGGCAAAACAAACTATAATTATAGTTCGTTTTCATGACCTACTACGACGGAATAGCCCACTTCAATATCAAAATTTAATTAAATTAAATCGGAGAAAACCAAATCTACAAGTGGAAAAAAAAACGCGTAGTGTTTAAAAACAAACAAATCAAGTAGTTTAAAGATAAGTGTTAAAAGAAGTTTAAAATAATATAAACAGACTTGGTTGAAGACAAAATATTTAGGTAAACTTTTTTCATTTATATTATTATTAGTCCACGTTAATTAATCCACGCTAATTTACTTTTAAACTAAACATTTAACGAATTAATGATTCGAATAATATACTAGGTATATTTTTAACCAGTCATTAGGAAAAAGGAAAAAATATAGAATCTATTGTATTTCACAACATTGCAATTTAAATTTTAAAAACATGATTTAAATCCTGAACAATAAGAAACAAGTAGTAAAATAGTTGATTAAAAAAATATTTAAAGTAGTTCAGGTTACGAATCTGAAATAACGATAACAACAATAGCTAGAACTTTTCACCGGATATTGAAGACGCAAATGAAGAGAACAGTATATTTTACTCTTCCTATATAAAAGATGCCGCAGTTTGATAGTTAA